TGGGATGTTTGAATAAGGAAAGTCTAATCCAGATTTTTGAAGGGTAGTTTGGTCTTTTCCTTATCCATTTAGTTAAATCCATTTTTAGTAAATTATTTGGAGTCTAAACTGGGTTTGTTCAGTTTACGCAATTAAGAAATTTGCTAGGGCTTTTAGAGAAGAGAAAAGAGGACAAAGGAAGAGAAACTCAAGATTCGTCAAGTTCTTGTGATTTTGGTTGTGGAATTCACCAAGGATTCGATCCTACAAGGTATGTGAGACTTTCATAGCATTGGGTTCGTTCACCCACGCGCCAAACATGTTTAGTTCAGCGAAATTCGTTCTAAAAAGGTTGAAAGTTTAATGTTCTTGATATGTATATCTTGAATTTGTTTTCGTTCTTAAACTGGGCTGAATTGAGAAGTTTCTGAGATCTTTACGTTGAGGTTTGGAGTTGTTTTGAGTTAGGTTCTTAGGTACATATGCTATGTATTTGTATCTAAAAAGAATTTGAGAAGAATAGTCGAGTTTAGGTGAACTGGGGCTGGAAAACGAAGAAGGAAAAAGTCGAAAAGGTTTGGGCACGCAAGTCCGCGTCACAGACTTGCTCCCCCAGTGAACAAAAATCAGCTCCGCGTCGCAGTTAGTACGTGGAATCCTCTGTTTCAAAAATAAATTTCGCGATAAAATATTTAAATGCAACTCCGCGTCGCGAACTTGTTCCAGACAATGATTTCTTGATCTTTCCTCATGTTTAGCTATCTAAAACACTCCTAAACATCATAAGATTTTTCCTATCACAAATCACAATCCTTGAATCCATCATTCAATTCAAGGAAAGTTAAGAGTCAAGTCAAGTAAAGTTAAGAGTCAAGTCAAGTGAAGTTAAGAGTCAAGTTAAGAAAAGTTTATAAAGTTTGCAAAAGTCTTTTCCAAACGTTTTAACGTTGTTTTAAGACTTAAGTTTCGAGTTAAGCAAAGAGTAAAGAGTTGAGTTCATTTCTCAAAAATCTATAAGGGAACTAAGTATTCCCAAGAGTTTAAAATGTTTTCACATTAGAGGAAGAAAAGGAACACCGATTCTAAGAGAGATTTTAAGCTAAGTTTTGAGTAATTATCTCAAACCAAAGAAAGAAGTTTTTTAAAAAACATACGAACTAAGTATATTTTGGGAGTAGTATTGAGCACCGATATGGGGATACAAGTTCATATTAACTCAAGTCTCTGTAAACCATGTGCCCATCATGGGTAGTAAAGGATCATACTTTTTAGATGAATCCTTGAGTGTGCTTTTTAGCATACACTAGTGGATCCACTTAGTTAAGGCGTTTTATATGACGGCAAAGTATAGGACAGTTCTGGCAGCGTGGGCAGGACGTTGTACCACCACTTAGGCTTATAGTGGTGGTTGTCGGTTAGAGAATCTCCCACAAAAACTATATTACTTTATTATATGAGTAAAGTTAAGTTTGTTATTGGATTTTCTTTAACAAATTAAGTTGTTTTCCACTGTTTTACATGTTTTTCATATATTGCATGTGTTTTATTGCTTTATATTGAGTTAAATTATTCATGAGTTGAGAAGAGCCAAGGTAAGTGTTCCTTTCCGATTCTTTTCAAGCCTATGTTGTGTTTAGCATTCCAACTCACATACTCATACATTCAATGTACTGATGCCAGTTAGCCTGCATCATCTTATGATGCAGACGCAGGTAACCAGGATCATCACCCAGCGCCTCGTTGATCCAGTTGAGCACTCAGAGTCAGTTGGTGAGCCTCTTTGCATTTCGGAGGACTTCTTTTATTTCGCTTTCAGTATTTCATTGTTCAGATGATCAGGGGTTTTTTCCCAACATCCCTCTTTGTTTTAGAGGCTTCATAGATAGTTAGTAGTTCAATTGTCTTTACATTATCATTTTTGTCATTTTGGCCAAGTTGAATGTTTGACCTTTAAACATTCTTAGTAATTTTATTAAACAGTCGAGTAAAGAGCATTTGATTATTGTAATAATGCTTTTAAGTCTTCCGCTAAGTAAGTAAGTCAGGCCAAGGATTCGCTTGGGGCCAGCAATGGTTCTCGAGTGTCGGCCACGCCAGAGTGTAGGCTCGGGGAGTGACAACTTTGGTTGAATTGATGCAAGTGATTTCTAAACCTTGTAAAACTAGTAGAATTGTTTATTTCCCTTCACTATGTGTGTTGGGGAGTAATGGGAATGACGTGATGTGTTCAATTATTTCACTTGATTTATCTTATGAATAAAAGTGGGATTCAAGAAACAGGAAATGTGTTGATCATAATTCTTTGTGAATTGCCTAGTTGTTGACCCTAAATTTGTTTATTAATTAAATGCTTTGATAGCATTATTGTGGACTTGGATTGTTTAAGTTGTTGTCTTTTCCTTATGGTGTGAAATTTCTTATTTGCATTGATTTCTTTATACCATGAAGAGACATGTGATGATCATGCCAACGGAAAATGGTTCTGGCAAGAGATATGATATAAAGCCGAAGGGAAATGGTTCCGGCTAGTGATATGATATAAATCCCTATGGAACTGGTTCTTACTACTGATATTATATCGAAGGGAGATGGTTCCGGCAAGTGATATATCAAAAAAATGAAGTGAAATGGTTCAGCTAGTGATATAATATAAAGGCGAAGGAATAATGGTTCCAGCTAGTGATATTGTGCCGAAGAGAAATGGTTTCGGCAAGAGTTTAATCTACTGGACACTTGTCATAGATCTACTTGAAACTTCAGAATGACCTACTTGGTTCTTGTGATTGGCATACTTGAAACTTATTGGTTGTTGAACTGCGATTGTTGGACTGTGATTGTTAAGCCTTTGGAATTATGTATTGTAAAATTGTTAGGTTGGACTGATTTATGCCGGTTATAGTTTGAGGAGATTTGGTTTAGACAAAAGGAGTACTCGTATTCTAGAATAATTTTGATTTATTTAGTAGGTTTCTTGCGGAGCATCGTGTTGTTCAGTACTTACTCCTTGCTTCTACACTTATGTAGGTTTCAAGCCTAGTTCTGTGTGATTGCTTTTCTTCATCACCATTCTCTGTGGCTCAACAAGGATTTTGAGAGGTAGCTGTTGGTCATCCTGGCGGGCCCTATTCTTCCTTTATGTTTATGCTTTGTTCTATTTGAGAAATAAAGACTTTTGAAACTTGTAATTATCTTTCAATTTTGTCTTAATACATTACTGGATTGAACACGTGACATCAAGGTTTTAGGTTATATTAGAATGACTAAATTTTTTCTCATTTATTTATCTTGTCTTCCTTTGATCATTTCTTAGCATTTTTTTGTTTTGAAGCAGACTTGTTGTAGTGGGATAGACGAGTGAAATCTCTTCCATTTTTGGGTCGTGAGACTAATTTATTCTTAACTTTGTAATGTAATTCTAGAAACTATCAATACCTATTTTTAGGATCTTATTAAGGTGGTTCTTAATTCAGTTTTATCTGGTTTGTGAGTTGTTAAGATGCTATTGTCAAGAGAGGAATATGTTTCTACCTTGTGATTGAATCTTTGGTTATTGAATATAATCTTGTCTCTTAACCCTTCTTGGAGATATAAGGTTTGGAAATGCACTTATTGAGAGCCTTGTCTCTCTGTTATCAAGGTTTTTCTCTTATATATAACCATAGGACATTTTTAGGAAGAGGCAACTCTTTTCAAACATGGACTAACAAGAGAAGGAGTAAAAATTATTGGGGCCATTGTGGGGTGCTACTATGATGGCCAAGGGACCACTAGAGTGATTCGAGCTATAGTATCCAAGGGACTGCTATAGTGGTCCAAGATAGTCCTTTCCTGGATAATCCTAGGTAAGAGAAATATGTTTTCCTCCAAAGCAGGTCGATCCCAGATTTACTCGACTAGATACACCCAATTTTAGACTCAGGAGTTTTACTGCATGTATTTTTTAAAATGAAAGGATGGATCATTACATTTAAAGGAATTTAATTAAACATGACATAAACTCAATAAAATTGAAGTTCTTTGTTCCGCTCTCTTATAAAGAGATAAACATTAGTTAGAAAGAATCAAAGAAATATATATATGGATCCCAATATGATTAATATTTATCTATTCACCATAAAAGGAGATTATTTCATCAGAGTAATAAATGTGCATATTCATTTGATAAAAAAAAAATTAAGACATCTTCAAATAATTTTTGTTCATCTTGAATATTTTTCTTAAAATGAATAAAATATATCTTTTTATGTTAACACTATTGTAAACACATTAGTTTGATAAGTGTTTTGTGCAATTATTTCATATTGACTTGTCTCAAAACTAATATAGAAATATATATATAATGTGAATCGAGTGACAGGTTGGTGAGTATCAGACATTAACAAAAACATATTTAAGCAAGCTTTCGTTTCAAATATATTTGGAAGCAACATAACTTCTTCATTAAATATGGTTTATCCAAAATGAAAGAAAATAATAATGTGCTTCGACAAGCGATGTAACTTCTTCAATCATACATACATCACGATTTAAAATTTAAAAAATATTTGTGCTTTTTAAATTAACCATCAAATTGAATATTTTTAAGCATATTTAAATACTATCAAAATTTATACTTCAGTATTCCTAACCAATATTTAAAATGTTCTCTTGTTTCAATTTTTAATTAAGTACATCCTTGAATCAAAATGTACTTTTTATTTTTAAAAAACTCGATGAAGGAAATGAGTAAACAATTACGTTTGCGATAACTTTATGACCATTTTCTATGAACACTACTTAAATTTAAACCACATTAATATTCTATATAACTTTTATCTAATATTCCCTCATTTAGTGTTTTTCAAAAATAGTTCTTGCTAGCAAGAAAAAGTCTCTAATTCAAACTTTTAAAAATGTATAGAATTAAAATTTTCTCTATAAATAGTATTCCATCCTAGATAAGAAAATACAACAACTACTACTACAACAAAGCCATTTTATCCCTCATATCCAAACAAACACATTTCTCCTCCCCTTTATCCATGGCTAGAAACAAAGTGAACTATGCTTTGATTGAAGATGCTAGTAAAAAAAAAGTCTCATATAATAAAAGACTGAAAGGGCTCTTGAAAAAATCTGATGAATTGAAAACACTTTGTAATGTTGAAGTGGCTACAGTCATATACGGCCCTTACATAAATGAACCATATACATTTCCAAATAATGATGTTGTACGCAACACTTTTATAAAGTTTAAGGTGTTGCCGACATTGGAGAGATCTAAAAACATGGTGACAAGAGAAGAGTTCACCATGCAAAGGATCAAGAAGTTGGAGGAACAACTTCAAAAGGTAAGGAAGGAAAATAGGGTCAGGGAAATGACAAATGAGATGTATGAGGTGTTCAAGAGAAAACATATTTTTGTTGACATGAACCCTTCCGATCTCAACGACCTATGTTGTGTAACGAAGAAATATCTCAAACACGTGCGTGAACTAATGATAAAAGAGGCTGATGGAGAGGGTTCTACATCGAATTCCCCTCAACTCATTGTTGAACCAATGGTACCCAGTAGGAACTACTCTGAAGGACAAAGGGATCCTTCTCCTCTATTGTTTTCACAAATGTTTCCTCCAATGGTTCCACAATTGTTTTCTCCAATGCCTCAACGCATGGATGTTGGAAAACCACCTGGACTGACCCCTCCAATGCCGTCAACAATAATGGATTCTCTGATTCCTTCACCAATGATGGATTCTCTATTGACTTACCATATAGTCCTATTATTTCTATGTTGCTCAACTGGAATGATGATGTTGTGATGACTTTATTGGATAATCCATTTTTAAAAAATATTAATGTGCAAGATCCAAACCACACCAAAAAATTCGAAGGGCCAATGTATGTATTTTTAATTAGTACTATTTTCTACGTACATATGGTCAAATGGAGTATTATGTCATTTATTTTTTTTCATATCTAAATTATGTCATTGGACTCTCCGAATAAGTTTCCCTTCGTCCTCCTTTGAAGTATCCTTTTGTCGTATTCCTTGATTGTTATAAAGTTGTAGTTTCATTCACTTATTAAATCAATAGTCAATTATTTTAATGTTTATTAGATACTGATCTATTTATTTTTCATTTATTACTATTATTTTTGAAATGTTGTTGTTAGTAGAACTTTTTAAAATGACCACTTACACTTCAAAATCTAACAAACCAATTTACATATAGGGTAAAATTTTATTTTGAAACTTTTTGGTAAAAACTTGTAACACATCTAATATTAAAATTGAATTAAACAATATAATAAATTTCCTTATTTAATATTCATATTTATTTTTTAATATGGTGATAGTACAAGATTCATTAATTTTGTGGCTTTTGTATGTTAAAAACTTCAACTGTTCTATTTTAACTTAATTTTTTGAATTGATGTTTGCACTCCCAAAACATAGAATGGGATCATCACATTTATATTTTGGTTCCATTTTTCTTATTTTTATCTCCCTTGGTGAAGTAGAGAAATTATTCCTATGTTTGAAGTCTATTGGACAAAATAAATGTATCCCATGCATTAGAAATAGAATTTTTTGTATTTATTTATCAATTGGAAGACACAAATATTCAGATAGGAAAAAAAAATAAGGCAAGGGAGAAGATAATATAATAATAGGTTAAAAGTGAACCATGACGGTTAATAATACACCAAATTTAATTTAAAAATCGAGATTTACAATTATTTGAAGGTTACTAAAACATGTCGGTGAATGTTTTAAGCTTGTTGAAATATTTTTTTATGATGATCATTTGACCCGAATGGGCATGTTTATGTTTTGATATTTTTTCCTTTTTGGCCATGTACTGTTAATTTTGAACAACTGTTGGTCTGTATATGTAACACCCCAGAAAAATTTTGAGCTAAGACTCGAACCATCCTTCTTTGTGGGTAGGACTTTACCGAGGAATTTAAAATTTCTTAAGTGGTAAGTTAAGGTCACTAGATGTAGCACCTTGAGTTCCAAAAAGAACTAAAGATCAAGTCATTCCTAGGTTCTTCTATCTTTTGGATCAACTTCAAATGACCATAACTTTTGGCACAAAATAAGTTAGGAGACCCATGAGATATCAAATGAAAGATCTCTGAGTCATCTTTCCAACGACGTCAAGTTTGATAAATTTCAAGCTTGTATGAGGGAGATATGCTCATTTGAAGTCAGGCTGTCCAGTTAAGGAAAGTTACCCAAAAATATAAAGGGTATTTTGGTCTTTTCCTTACCCAATCAGCTTAAAATGAATTTTAGTAATATATTGGGGCCAAATCTAATTTGGGCCAGTTTTCATAAATCCAAATACGCTTAGGGTTTTATAAGAGAGTTCAAGAAGAGAAAAGAAAAAAAAAGAGGAGAAAAGAGGGAAGGTTCAAGGCGTTCGTCGAAATTTCTTACGGATCGAAGGTTGTTTGGCCAAGGGTTTTATCCCAAAGAGGTATGTGTGTTATTATAGTGATGGGTTCGTTCACCCACACCTCAATCATGTTATATTCAGCGAAATTTCGTTCTCAAAGTTGGAGGATTAGAGTTCTCGATTAGCTTCTTGAAAGTATTGTTTCCATACTTGTATTAGGATGGGTTTGATGAGTTCTTGATATAAGTTTGAGTATTTTGAGGGTGGTTTTGTGTGGATTATTGTATTCTAATGTTGGGTACTCGAATCTAAGTGAATTGGGAAGAAACCATTTGAATCTAGGCGAACTAAGGTAAGAAAACGAGCAAAGAAATTTGTCGGGGTTTTCTGAGAATAGGCTGGCGCGCCGTCCCACCATTGCGCCAGCAAAGAGTGTCTGTAGTTCATGGGCTGGCGTCCTGCACCACACAGTGCGCCAGTGTCGCCTACCCCAACCCCATTTCTGTCGTTTTTCTCGTCTGAGTTTTTTAAAAGGGTATCTTCAAGCCCTATCGATTCTAAACACTCTAAAATACTTCTAAAAATCTAGAAATCATTCATAACATAAATCATAACCTTGAATCCATAATTCAAATTCAAGGTAGATTTAAGAGTTAAGTCTTGAGAGTTCCTCAGAGTTGTTTAAGAAAGTCCTTTTGATTCTTTTCGAGCAGTCTTCTACAATTAATTATGAATTATTTCAAAACTCCTGTAAGTGAGTATGAGAATGAGGAGAATGTTTTCATGATTCTGCTTTATCATTGAGATCCTTGAGTCGAGTCGTTCATGCCCATAAATTCTACATGAACTTCATATCTTGAGTATCTTGGAGAGGAGTAGTATATTCAAGTTCTAAAACTTGAGTATTGAGTTCCTAATCCTTTTGAGATTATATTCCTAATCATGGGACTAATACATGTTACCTATGAAGGTCCTTGAGTTGAGATGTTTATGCCCATCATTCTGCACGAGCCCTATAAGTCGAGAAGTCTTGAGACGAGAAGTATCATTGAGTCCTTGAGTTGAGTAGTTCATGCCCATAATTCCGCATGAACCCTCTGAGTTGAGTATTCTTGAGATAAATAGTATCATTGGTAAATGACAAGGTTTCTCAAGAACTTGAGTTCTAAGCTAAAATGGTTATTGTGCACTGATTATCACTCCTTTTTCGAAATGGTTTTCACAAATGAGTTCCAAATGTCTTGGGAAACATATTCAAGTAAATATTTTTGGATTCAAACCTCATTTTTGGAATTGGGTTCTTCAGTTGATTTGACCCCTTTCTCAAAGTGAATGATTTGGGTGTTATTATTAGTTCTGGAATCTTATTTTGATTACTTGATTAAATAATATTGTATGTATTTGCACATTGTTCGGAAAGGGAAAGAAGAAGTCTTGGATTAACTTTTAATTTAATTGAGGCAAGTGATTTCTAAACCTTGTAAAACTAGTAGAATCTTTTATTTCCCCTCACTGTGTGTGGTGGGGAGTAATAGGAATGACGTGATGTGTTCAATTATTTCACTTGATTTATCATAATGAATAAAAGTGGGATTAATGAAAGAGGCAATGTGTTGATCATAATTCTTTGATGAATTACCTTTTTGTGGACCCTAAATGTGTTGATTAATAAAATGCTTTGATAGCATTATTGTGGACTTGGATTGTTTGAGTTGTTGTCTCTTCCTTATGGTGTGAAATTTCTTATTTGCATTGATTTATTTATACTGTGATGAGACATGTGATGATCATGACGACAGGAGATGGTTCCGGCAAGAGATATGATAAAAAGCCGAAGGGAAATGGTTTCGGCTAGTGATATGATATAAAGCCCTATGGAACTGTTTTCGACTACTGATATTATATCGAAGTGAGATGGTTCCGACAAGTTATATGATAAAAAACAAAGTGAAATGGTTCCAGCTAGTGATATAATATAAAGGCGAAAGAAAAATGGTTCCAGCTAGTGATATTGTGCCGAAGAGAAATGGTTTCGGCAAGAGTTTAATGTACTGGACACTTGTGATAGATCTACTTGATACTTTAGAATTACCTACTTTGTACTGTGATTGGCATACTTGAAACTTATTAGTTGTTAAACTGCGATTGTTGGACTGTGATTGTTAAGCCTACGGAATTGTGCATTGTAAAATTGTTAGGTTGGACAGATTTATGTATGTTGTAGTTTGAGGAGTTTCAGTTTGGATGAAAGGAGTACTCGTATTCTAGAACAATTTTGATTTATTTAGTAGGTTGCTTGCTGAGTACCGTGTTGTTCGGTACTCACTCCTTGCTTCTTCACTTATTTAGGTTCCGAGCCTAGTTCCGTGTGATTTCTCTTCTTCTTCACCATTCTCCATAGCTCAACAAGGATTTTGAGAGGTAGCTGATTGTCATCTTGGCGGGCCCTCTTCTTCCTTTATGTTTATGCTCTTTTCTATTTGAGAAATAAAGACTTTTGAAACTTATAATTATCTTTCAATTTTGTCTTAATACATTAGTGGATTGAACACATGACAACAAGGCTTTGACTTATATTAGAATGACTAAGTATTTTGCTACTTTATTTATCTTGTCTTCCTTTCTGCATTTTTTAGCATTTTTTGGGTTTGAGGCTGACTTGTCGTAGTGGGATAGACGAGTGCAATCTCTTCCATTTTTGGGTCATGAGACTAATTTTTTCAAAATTTTGTTATGTAATTTTTGAAACTATCAATACCTATTTTTAGGACCTTATTCAGGTGGTTTTTAATTCAGTTTTATCCGGATTGTGAGTTCTTAAGATGTTATTGTCCAGAAAGGAATTTGTTGCTACCTTGTGATTGAATCTTTTGTTATTGAATATAATCTTGTCTCTTAACCCTTATTGGAGATATAAGGTTTGGAAATGCGTGTATTGAGAGCCTTATCTCTCTGTTATAAAGGGTTTTTTTCTTAAACATAACCCTAGGACATTTTTAGGAAGAGGCAACTCTTTCCAAACATGGACTAAAAATAAGGAGTAAAAATTATTGTGTGGTGTAGCTATGATGGCCAAGGGACCACTAGAGTGGTTGAGCTATAGCATCCAAGGGAATGCTATAGTGGTCCAAGACAGTCATTTACTAGATAATCCTATGTAAGAGAAATATCTTTTCCGCCAAGGCGAGTCGATCCCAGCTTTACTCGACTAGATAGACCCAATTTTAGACTCAGGAATTTTACCGCGGGTATTTTTTAAAATGAGAGGATGGATCATTACATTTGAACGAGTTTAACTAAACATGACATAAACTCAATTAAATTGAAGTTCTTTCTTCCCCTCTCGTATAAAGAGATAGACATTAGTTAGAAAGAATCAAATAAATAAATAAATATATATATATAAATAAATA